ATTCAGATTAAAGCCTTTGGCATAATCTTTTGAATCCCTCCAGTGTTAAGAAATACCTTTGAAGACGGATTTGATTTGGGGGAACAATCAAAAGTCATTTAGAGCCAAGCACAGTAAACAAGGTGAATAATCAAACCAAGCAATTCATGTTTCGGTCCGAAAAGGGTGTAACATTGAAGTAATGAGGCTGATCTTTTCTTTTTTTTTTTAATGTGGCTCATAACCCGGCTTTGATGTCATTATATTAAAATGAAATTCCATTGACATTCATTTTGGAGCTTTATGACTCATAATTTGATTCTACCATGTTCCCTGGATTTTAAAGTAGGTGCTGTTAGAGTCCGGCATAATTAAAGAACAGCCATGATACCTGGCTGCAGTAACTGAGAAGTAAAATAAATAATTTAATTTGCTGAATGCTTATTACACAGAAAGCACTAACACAGGCCTCAATAAAAAGGAAAGAAATCCATGGCACAAATCTCTCATTCATTATTCCTTATTTTAATGGTGAGAAGCTAGGTAAGGCTCAAAGGTTAGGTGAACTTTGTAAACATGCTTAATTCCTATTGGTCTTGGTAAAGAACCAACCTGTATTAACAATCCACCCCTGATATAATTAAATAAAACATAAATGCCATCTCCAGCCAAGGTAGAATAGGGATTGCCCTCAGAAATTAACAATGCAGACTTGTAAATATGACCTAGAAGATGTAAAGTTAATATCATGGAATTAAATGAGAATTCTAATATAGAACTTGGAAAATAGGGGAATGAAACCATCTGGAAATCAGAAAATCTGTAGAAAGTTGCAGAGCCAAATATGAGCACAGCATGTAAAAAGATGGGTCAGTCAGTGGGCACCTGTACTTTTCAAGAAAGAGTCCTTTAAAAGTGGGAAAAGCATGGACTAGTGAGATAGCTCAGTGGATAAAAGAGCTCGCTGCCAAGTCTAATGACCTGAGTTCAATCCCTGGGACCCTAATGGGAAAAGGAGAGAACCAGTTTTTCCTCTGACCTCCACATGTGCTCTGTGGAACATGTGTATACACACAATAAATAAATGAAACATAAAAAAATTTAAGTATTTTGTTTATTATTTTTAGTTTATGTATATGAATGTATTGACTGCATGTACGTAAGTGCATCCAGTCATGCAGTGCCCATGGAGGTCAGAAGAGGTGGTGTCAGATCCCCTGGGATTGGAATTACAGATAGCTGTTAGCCATCATGTGGGTGCTGGGAATTGAATCCCGGTCCTCTGCAAGAGCAGCAAGTGATCTTAACCGTGGAGCTATCTCTCCAGCCCCAATAATAAAAATTTTAAGTGGGAAAAATAGCCCATGATTATGAATCTTATTTAAGAGTGCACATTCACTATGCAGCTCAGATATTCCTTTGATTTCATAGAGATTTCCACTGCAGATGCCTTTGAGGGTGGTCCTTGAGGCAGTGAGAACTCTTCCCATTATACCTGCAGAGATCTGGTGCCTTTGGCTCATGGAACTGGCTTTCTGGGGAGAAACCTTGCTGTGGATTGAGGAACTAGAGCTCTTCCCCAGCATCATTATACCTGGGGAGCTGATGATCTTATCCATCTGAAGTGTAAACCTAGGTGGCCAGAGCTAGAACAGAAGTAAACATTACTAAAGTACTTTTCTTAAAAGATTTATTTATTTTCATTTTATGTCTATGAGTGTTTGCCAGCATAAAACATATCAGCGCATGATAAATTGTCCGCAGTCATTGTGGAAAAACCACCATAAATCCATATTAGGTTTCTGGTGTACAGTGATGGCATGAGTTGTTTCTTTTGGCTTTGAACATTTTACGAGAGAGGTAAAGAGGACGATGCATATGGCCGCATTTCTGGAAGATGGAAATGTGTAAGATTTACTATTAAAGCAAACATACCTGAGTCATCTGGAAGATGGAAGGTGTTTGATGGTCAAACAGCTATATATGGCCCATAAGTTTTCTTTCTTCTTTCCAGTATGTGTCAGAAGAGTCACATATGTGCCATGGATTGAAAAACCTCACGGACTATTATATTAAGTGAGCCATACTTTTAGTGCCCACCACATAGCAGAAAAGGATGCAATTGAGTGTAAGATTAATAGCCTGGGGCATGGTCCAGTATGGATTTTCTGAGATCAGGGAGTAGGTAGCTGTGTACTCCCATCGTTGGGGATATGCACACTGAAAAATTCCTTGTAGTTGTGATGTGCTCCTTCACCTTAGGAGAGAATCCTAGGATTACATATGGAAATGAAGAACTCTGGCCAATAGGTGTAATATGAATGTCAGGCATGTTGGTTTACCTGGAGACTTACTATGAAATTTGAGTCACTTTTCTCCTGTGAGCTTCACTCCCTTCATTTGCCACATAGTATATATATTTGTCACATAGTATATATATATTTGTCACATAGTGTATATATATATATATATATTTGTCACATAGTATATATATATAATTTGTCACATAGTGTATATATATATATATAATCATAAGCTGAAATAGCTACAGAAAAGTAATACAGAAGGAATGAGATTGAGCTTGCAGAATGATGATATTCTTTTCTTATTTACATATTGAACGATCAGAATCCAAATTCTCAAACTGGTCATAGTCCTCATGGGTGTCATACTTAAAATAACAAGTTTAAAATGTCTCTATTACTTCCTGTACTCCAGTGTGAGAAAGGGGGTATTGGAATGCTGGGTTGAGTTGTATAAAGTCATCTTCCACTGGTTAGAAGAAAACTATTCTAGTATAAAAACAATGACACAATTAACACCACCTTAGGAGTATAGGAGCATCTTTTGTAACAAGGTTCTACCTCTGAGCTACATGTAATAGAAAAGTTTCCCCTGCCCTTAGCCATAGTTTTACAGGCTTGTCTAACCTTTTGACATTGCAACCTGATGTTTTCATATACAAAGTTCATGCTTCTTGAGAACCATGCAATCAAGTTATGAAAAAAAGAAAGAAATCTCCAAAAGTTTCATAATGTTTTGTCAGTTTACGATTCTGTATTGGGGTGCATTCCTCGCTTTCCTTGGCTGCATGTACCTGTTGTGGCTCATGAACCATAGGTTCAGCATGCCTGGCTCAAGAACAAAGACTAGAATTAAATAATACCACCAACTGAATTCCTATTTAAAGGTATTGAGTGGACTAACTGCTTCAGACAAAGAAATGGAAAACGATTGTGGAATTTTTAAAGACGTGGGAGTTAATCCAATTTCAGTTCTTTTAAAACACATCAGAGAAAATAAATGCATGCAACTTGCATTTACTTTAAATGTGTTTTCCTTAGTTTCTCTGCTCTCATGGATGATTTTCATAATAATCTCTGGCTATACACTATATCTTTAAAACAGTGATAACTGCCGAGCTTGTTTTATGAAAGTGTGTATGCCATGATGTCAAAGGGCTGAAAAATGGTATGTGTACAAAGCTTTGCAGGTTATACACAGGAAACAAAAACTGTTCAAGGCACTTCCAGAACAGGGAACTAAACTGGTAACACCTGTCATATTTTAAGGGGACAAGATCTAAGAGATGACTAAGAAGCAACTGGGAGGTTAGCAATAGCGGGGGAAGGCGGGGGGATACCAGCCCTAGAGGGAAAAGTACAAAGACAAGAGACGGTTTTGCTGGAGCCCAGAGTTAAGAGCCACAAAACACAGGGGAGCACTAGTGGAGGTTATCTGGGAGGATGTGGGAAGCTCGCAGAAGGGAATTCTTAGTAGTGGATGAACACAGGGGGCACACGTAGCACACTAGACAGTCTGAGCTGGGAGTGGAGAGTCATAGTGGCTTAGCTTCCTGCCATCATGCCTACAACCAGGGTTTTCACAGCTAGACTACTCTGTGGACAAGTATCAATGAAAAACAAGTAATGTCTTCTGCAGTGCATAGCAGACTAGAAGGAACAGATAACCTAGCAGACTGGTAAACAATTAAAGTCCATATGTGAACATAGGCAAAAAATCCTCAACAGAATACAGATGTCATGAATCTAACCATGTACTTCAGAACATCACAGCCAAGTAGCTTGGATAAAGACTGAGACAGCTATTTACCATCATTAGAAAGTAAGTGTAAGCTTAAAATTACACAAAAAAATAAAAAGCATAATTGCAGAAAAATCATTCAATGTTTAAAATTCCTAACAAACTAAGAGGAGTAAGAATGTTCTTAACCTATTATAGAGTACCAATTAAACACCTACAGCAAGCATAATAAATAATGATGTAATTTTCCAAGAATTCCCATTAAATCAGAACACTATAAATATGTCTTCAACCTCTCATTAATTCAGTATTATAATAGACTGCATTTAAAAAAAAAATGTGCAGTCTATGAGCTGAAAAGGAACAGAAAAGGTGTCGTTATTTATAGGCATTTTGATTATTTGAACGTTTACAGAAACTAGAAAGAGTCTGACATGCTTCCAGAATATAAGACGATGATCGAGATTTGATAGCATTCTCATTTTCTAGCAATGACAGGAAAACAGGATGAGGAGAGATTCGTAATAGCTATGCAATACCTGGAGTAAGCGAACAAAATTATGCAAGCATTTTATGCAGAAAAATTTAAAGGTTAGTATGAAATGAGACATTAGCAAATTTCCATGGGAGGGAAAAAGCTCAATAAGGTATCAATTCTCTGCCAAGCTCAATATAGTTTCCGAAATCAAGGTCTAATACAATTCTTCATGAAATTACTAAAAAGATTCTAAAAATGTGCATGAATATATAAATCAACAAGAACATGAAGACTCGATGAATGAGGAGAGGCGGAAGTCTCTAAGACACCAAACACCTCTGCTCAGCTCACATAGTATTGGAATAGCGATACAGCAGGAGGATGGAGGAAATAGAATTACATCCTGGCTTCATATCGTACATGGACTTGAACTCCAGACGGACTATGACACAATGAAAATGGAAGAAGAAGGTAGCTGATTAATAAGAAATAATGGTATATACTTACCTGGCAAGGAAGATACCATGATCAAGAAGGTGGTTTTCCCAGGACAAGGCTCCTCCATTGTGCTCAAGATGTGCCGACTCCTGTGATTTTCCTAAATGTGGCAAAGTTGACTCCGCAATTTGTGGAAAGAGGATTATGTCTGCACTGTCCCCTGATTACTAGGAAATAAATAAAGAAAGAGAGAGAGAGAGAGAGAGAGAGAGAGAGAGAGAGAGAGAGGGGATTATGTCTGCACTGTCCCCTGATTACTAGGAAATAAATAAATAAATAGAGAGAGAGAGAGAGAGAGAGAGAGAGAAAGGGTGGTAAACCATCTAAATTTTTATAACATCAGCACAATGTATTTCTCTAGCTCCCTCCATTTAGTTTTATGCTCAAATGTTATGTACCTGATCAAGTTCCTCATGAAACTTATACTTTCTCCATCCTCTGATTTCGTCACGTACCTTATTTAATTCCTTTAAATGTAGTACTTCATATGCAGCAGGTACTTCATATATGTACATTTGCTATTTTAATTCTCCAGAATCATTGATGCTATTAGACATTAGGATCTAGTAGACAGTATCATTCTCACTTAAAGTGAGGAAACAGGCTCAAAGCATTAGCTAAATAATTCCCCTAAGCTCATAAGCGACAAAGCCAGGATGTAAACCTGGGTTTACACCCGAAAGCCACGTGCCAAAGGCCACAGGCCACATGCCCTTAACGATGCTGCTATTTTGCTCTTCTATTCAAAAGCAATTGACAACTGAAGTTCAATCTGATGTGACTTTGGCTGTGTGCACCCTGCCTGCTTTTGTTCCCTTTTTGACAATCACATTTGCCTGTGCCTAGAAGAGTGCCTGCAATATAACAGATGTTCAAAATAGCTATGCAATACCTGGAGTATAATATAATAGATGTTCAAAATAGCTATGCAATACCTGGAGTATAATATAATAGAGGTTCAAAAGTGATTCTGGATGAAAAATTTGACAGGTACTTTAAAGATATTTTTAAACCCAGAAATCAAAAAATTAAATATGATAAACTTATTCCATTTGTTCAGTTTCCATCTGGTTGAGGTGCTGAAACGCTCTGATCAAAAGTAGCTTAGTGGTTTATACCAGCTCATAGGATACAGTCCATTACTGAAGAAGTCAGGGCAGGGGCTCCAGCAGGAACCATGGAGAAACACTCTTCACTGGCTTACTTGCAAGGTCAGGGACAGCGAGCTTTCTAATACAGACCAGGAACATCTGCCCAAGGAATGATGTAGCCCATAGTGGATTGGACTTTCCTACATCACTTAAAATTCAAGACAATCCTCCCTGCCATACACATACACAGAGATGCCCACAAGTCAAAGCTGATCTAAGCAATAATCCCTCAATTGAGACTCTCTTCTCAAATGACTCAGGCTGTGTCAAGTTGACAGTAAAAGCTACCTAGGAACAATTAGAATATAGACTTCTAAAAAAACGTTTTTCTTTTTCTTTTGATATATGGACTCAGGTTGTCCAGGCTAGCCTTGAACTCACTATATACCTTAAGCTGGCCTCAAACTCTTGATCCTCCTGCCTCTAACTCCAAATTACTAGGATTGCAAGCATGCAACACTACATCTGGCTTAAAATACAGACTTCTTTATTAGAAACTATACCATGAATGGACATAAAATATAAGCAACAGGATGAAAAGGAAGCATGCAATATATGGGATTAGGAATCAGGCACTATATGAAACACTGCTACACGTCAATAAGAAATCTAATAGAAAACATTAAAAAATCATGAATACTCAATTCGCAGGAAAAGAAACACAAAAAAGTCAATATGCATGAAAGTTTGCTCAGCTTCACCAGTAATTAGGGAATTCTAGATAAAACGGATATCAGACAACATTCCCCACATGAAGACGGTAATTTTTAAATCATTAATAATATCAAATATTGGTTAGAATATGGAGAAATGAGAGGCTAAAAGACTGATGATGGATGTATAATTACTGGAAGAATATTGAAGAATAATTTAGCAATATCTGGTAAAGTCAAAGTTCAGATCATATGACCCCAAATTTCCATTTCTTAGAAATTGTAACTTCCAATATAAATGCATCAACGACACAGGTGGGATGAATTTGCTGGATTTTTTTTTTTTTTTTTTGGAAATGAAAAAAAACAAAAAACAAAACACCGAAGGTTTAAGAGCAGATGAATAGATACATAAATAAGTACTGTGGGTCCAATGGAGCCATGTATGGTAATTCAACAAAGGAGTAAGCTCCTCCCAGAAGTGGCAGGGACAAACTGAATAAAACCAGAGAGCAATGCATGCCTTTAGTCCCAGCACTTGGGAGGCAGAAGCAGGCAGATCTCTGTGAGTTCAAGGCCAGCCTGGTCTATATAGGGAGTTCCAGGTCAGCTGGGGCTACAGGGAGACCCTGTCTCAAAAAACAAATGTGCAAACAAACAAACAGCCCAAAGAGCATTGTAGATTTAACTGAAAACAAGAGGATTTCAGAGGGGACTCAGAATGTGGAGAAAATGGAGAGTCAGACAAAGTTCCCTGGTTTTGGAGGGTCTGTCCTGAGAGCAGCCAGTCGGGGTGGCAGCATGACCTGGGCAACGTTTGTACTGCTAGCAGCCCAACGAATCCAAGGAAGCCAGGTGAAACCAAAGTTACCCAGGGTAGGAACATCCCAAACAATGAAAGAGGCAGAGAAGGGGAGCCCCCTGGTTGTGTATAAGCACAGCCTGTCTCTGGCTGATCCCAATCTAAGCAAGCACCAGACAAATGGATAGCACTAGAGCTAGGGTTGGGAAAACCTAGCTGAGCACAGACAGGGCATCTTGTAATGTGTGTGAGGTGAGTTCACAGACTCCTCATCGGGAGCATAGGTACTCAACAATGTGAAGGTTATCACCGTGAGACACTGCCAGTCCTGGATAATACCTTAAAAGACTCGGCGTACAAAAATTCAAGAAGACGTGTGACGAATTCTCAAGGAGAAAGATAAACAACACTAACTCAGATTCTGAAACCATCTAAAACTTTAATACATTCTTTACAATGATGGTACAGAATCAAATCAGAAAGTTTCAAGAAAGAAAAAGGAAGTACAAAAACTGTACTAAAGCCTGGCTTGGTGGCACAGGTCTTTAATCCCAGAACTCAGAAAGCAGAGGCAGGTGGATGTCTGTGAGTTTAAGACCAGCCTGTTCTACATAGCAAGTTCTAGGCCAGCTGGGGGTACAGGGAGACCCTGTTTTAAAATGACCCCCCCCAAAATGTACTGAAGTATAATATATAACATCAATTTATTAACTTAACTTCATAATTACATTTACTAAATAGTCATATAGGCAAAAAGGATTGACAAAAGAAAGCTCCAATCAATACGAAAGAGATCAATACGAAGCATTCGAAGAAGGGAGAAAATATTGACTAAATGAACAAAGTTTAAGTGACCTTTGAGACTATTTCAGTTTAATATATAAAAAAAGTCACAGCTAGAAGACAGAGACTGTAACAGAGATATATATGATTTGACAATTTAAAATATATTGAACATATATGTACAATAAGACTTTTGACATTTCCTCAGGAGAAAACCAAAACAGAGACGCACACAGTGACAGGTTTCTGGATGTCAATGGCAGTTTAGCTCACAATGGCCAAACTGTAAACAGCCCAGCTGTCTACTCACAGGAGAGGACAGAAACAGTGTGCATGAGAACTTGGAGCACTTTTCAATGAAAAGGCCAAAGATACTGAAATAAATAGCATGAAAAATTCAATTTTTTAAAAAAAAGTTGTTGAAGGAAAGAAGCCAGACAGAGGAGAATGCACACTGTATAGTTTAACTCACATAAAAGGCAAGTGAGTCCACAGTGACAAAAAGTCCATCAGTAGTTGGTTTGAGTGAGGGAAAGGGAAATACCCATGAGGGATGCCTTGCTAGATGATGAATGTCTGCAGTAATTTTCATTATGTTGGTGGTTTCATGAATGTGTACAGTTCACTGAATGGTGTACTAGAAATGTGCACGGTTGTGTCTAGAGAACGCTCTTGCCGAGGACCCAGGTTCAGTTCTTAGAATCTACATAATGGCTCACAGTCCTCTGAAAGTCCAGGTCCAGGAGATCTGACACCCTTTTCTGGTCTCTGTGGACATTCCATGACATGGATGCACTTACATACATGCAGCAAAACACTTGTACACATAAAGTAAAAAGTAAAAAGTAATTTAAATATGCACAGTTGACTTGAATAAATCAGTGCTCAACAAAATTGGTAAGAAAAAAAATGAGCAAATGAAATACATATCTATTAATATAATCAGTGAATACATGGTTATTAATGTTAAAAGAAAAGCAATTTATAAGATGCTGCTACCTAGCTATAACATGAAACCACTCAAATACAATTGAATAACACATAAAAATACCATGACATGTCTTGGGTTTGTTAAATATATTAACAATGACACATGCTGTATGTGATATATAACTCAGTATGTGTTTTATGGAGTTTATGGATAGGTATTTATTCATTCTGTAAATATTTGCATACTTACTGTCTTGCAGTTCCCAGAGAGCTATATCAGCACCCCGAGGAAGCTTCTGGTCTGTTGGAACATAGTGACCTTCAGATTGTGACCACCTCTAGAGAGCAAGGAAGAGAGCGATGTGACTGTGAGTTCTGCACTATTTCTTCATTTGAAGCATTGAGAAAAATGGTAAGTGTTTGCATACCTTAAGTGATAAATAAATGAACTTTGGTTAAACTTTATCTTTTAGAGTGCTATTTATTTGTTTAACATAAAATCAAGTGTCATAAAAAGACAGGGAAACAGGCCAGGCGTGGTGGTGCACGCTTGTAGTTCCAGCACTTGGGAGGCAGGGGCAGGTGGATCTCTGTGAGTTCAAGGCCAGCCTGGTCTACATAGTGAGTTCCAAGACAGCTGGGGCTACAGGGAGACCCTGTCTCAAAAAGACCAAAAAAAAAAAAAAGATGAGGAAACATGAGAAATTATGTAGTCTATCTAGATTTAGCGTTTATTGGTGGATGAATAGCTGGATATATACCCCCACTAGAGCTTAATTCGTTTTTGAATATTATAGAGATGGAAGGGGGAAAGGTGCAAAATCCGAGAAACATAAAGGAAAG